AATGAATGAATGAATGAATGAATGAATGAATAAATAAATAAATAAATAAATAAATAAATAAATAAATAAATAAGCACACTCATTTTCTAGAAGCTGAGAGGGTAGGATCCAAAGCAATAGATGGGGGGGGGGGAGAGACAGGAAATTTGGCCTAAATATTAGGAAGAATTTCTTGACAGCAAGAGCTGTTTGACAGTGAAACGGACTGCTTTGGATAGTGATGGAGTCTCAGTCACTGGAGGTTTTTAAACAAATTAAATTGCCACCTGTCAGGGCTGTTTTAGTTGAGGATTTCTTGCTTTGGCAGCAGGCTGGATTCAGTGACTTGTTCCTGCCCTACAGTTCTATGATTCATTTTAAATACTCTTGTGAACCTAATGTGTACATTGTCTCCCTGCTCAGCACACTGCTGTGTTGTTCTTTCCTTGGAGGTAGATAATTCTGCTGAGTTTTGGCCCGAAGCAAGTTTCACTCTTGTCTGCCAGTAGAGAAGGGTTTTCTTTGTGTGTCACCATGAGTTGTGTTACTTGGGCATGGCCAGACAACTGATTCATGCAGAAACACAGAAAGTGGGCTCCCCCTAAAATTGAATATTTTTTCCTTCTTCTACATAAATAAAACAGGGGTTGGGGAAATTTTGGCCTTTCGGGTGACTTGGACTATGACACTCATCATCCCTTAACTCTGGCAATGCATACTTGGAGCTTCTGGGAGTTAAAGTTAAAAAACATCTGAAGCAACCAAAGATTTCAAACTCTTGCTGTAAAAAAATGTCAAATAAAAGATTAAAATGTCCCCAGTTTTAATGGGGGGAAGAGTGATTTCACTATCAGATATTTGTGGAACAATGTCCTAACATAAGTATAGTGCTAAAAGATATGGTGATCCTCCCCCTGAATCTTTGTGCACAGTCGTAAGTCCATCTCCACAATTATTGTCCCTAAAATTGCTTGAGGATACTGTTTTATTATTTTGTTAGAACAGAATCAGGAAGGGCATCAGGCTTTCCTAATCATTTAAACTGGCTGGAGAGATCAGATACCTGGTTGGTATGTGGGGTTGGAAATTTGATTTCCCATTATGCCTTCCAGGAGAAGAGCCAGTCTGTGTAGCCGTGGGCAAGCTGCAAAGTCCGAAAAAGCTACCAGAAAAAAAATTACTTGTAATTATACCTAGGAAACCCTGGTAAGTGTTGCCATAGATCAGGAATGACTTGATGCCACAGTAATAGAGATTATTATCTAATCTCCCCAGATTTTCCAAGAACTAGTGGCAGTTTCAAAAGAAGTGGGAAACTTTTTAAATGGAAGCTTTCCACTACTGTTTTTTATAATGGAGAATTTCCTTTAAAAAAAATAGTCATGCACTTTTGGCTATCTTATTTTTTACACTTTTTATTCACTGACGCTGCCTTTCTATCTGTCACTCCTGTCACTTTCTGAGAGTCTGTGGTTTCTTTTTGTGCCTTCTCCTCAAGCAAACAATGTATATCTAGCAACAGTGATGAGGTGACGTTTGCCCCTCCATCCCATCTCCCTTGGAGACTAGCTTTTGATAGAACTAGTGTGAACCTGGAAGAAGTGAGTTCTACTCTTTGATTTTCTATACAGAGAAAACTCCTCTATGCTAAGATTAACCACATGAAACATAGTGAGAATCCTTCCCTCCAAATATGATCCAGTTGGACTGAGCATGTGAAGTTTATAGTCCTATTTTAGATAGGACTATTCTGCATACTACTGTGTGTTGATGTTGACACTATCAAAGCCTGTGTTTCGTTCCACCTTTGCCACACCACTGGTGATGTGCTATGTGATTCCCAGTGTGGTATAGTGGATAGAGTGAGAAACTAAGACTCTGGAAACCAGGATTCAAATCCTGATCAGCCCTGAAAACTCACTGGGGGAATGGAACTGGTAAAACCACTCCTTAAATATTTCACTTCTCTTGAAAGCCCTGTTAGGGTTGCTATAAGTTGGTTCTGATGTGACAGCACATAATAGCGGAATGATGCGCTTTATGTGGGCAGTTGGATGGCTAATGAGATGGTGCTGAACTATAACGTTATACTGTGGTGATTGCATGGAAGTTAAGGTGCAGAAATATGTTTTCTCTTTAGGAATAATTGATCTTTTTTGGATAACTATGCCTATAGAATATAGCTATTCATTCATGTACATAGCTCCATAAACATGTTATAATGAAAAAAAATAGCTATTAGTGCTCTCACCCCTCCATTTAAACAATGAAAAGGACTGTATAGTACTTTTGCGTGTCAAGTCAAAAATTTAGAGGTATTTGTATAGAAATAATTTTCAGGTAAAGCTTTGAATGTGTTTGAATGTAAGTTTTAAACCACACGAAGTACACTTTATTGATTCCTCCATCAAATACTGTATTTCATTTCCATTACTGTTGGCTATTTGGGTTTGGGGGAGCAGATATATAAACAGCATATGCATTTAACATATGGCAGGAGAAAATTGTCTTCTGCTGTTGAGCTTTGAAATTGGCAGCAGAAACAATGCAATTCATGGATCATGTCCCCCTCCTTCTCCAATATTAAATTCTGTGTGTGACTTGGGCAAAGCAAAAGAGTCAGTAATAATCCTATTGAGACTTTCTTGATGGTTCCCAAATGATCAGGTTGTGTGAAGGCTAGATGGTAGTCCCCCACCCCACTTGATTTGTTTCTATTGCACAAGGTGGCATATCTGTTGGCTATGCTATTTTGATGCTGGATAATCCACTGACATCACAATATTAAAAGATGATCTGGCTTAACATAAGATCCACAAATCTTTTCTCTGTACAAATGTGGCTGATAGTAAACTGAACTGTTGTCAGAAAGACTCTAGATTTAAGTTAATTTGTTTATGGAGAGCAATATTTACCTGATCTGTCATGAATTTGTATGAAGGTTGTACTGAGAAGCTCTTTGATGTATAGCAATGTGTTGTGTTGTGTGAGCAACCTACGTTTATTCCCATAATTAATCATGCCTGTATGAACTTACTTTTCATCTTAATATGTTGCAATTCTTTGCAGTTCTCTGGAATTGGAGCAATGTTCTCTCGAAGTATTGGAACCTGAAGGGAGTCCAAGCAGGAGCCTGCTCCAATTAATGGGTGAAAGAGGCTGCACCGTGCTGGAGTTGACAGAATTGCTACAGACCCTGGAACACACCGAGGCACTCCACTGTCTCAGTCCTCCAAGTGAGATTTTGTTTCTCAGAATATGACTTTTCCTAAATATTTTCTTAAAGTGGATTACACCAGACTTTCCCAGCTTGGTACACATTACTGAAGCTAGGCAATGGCAGATAAAGGACAGATAAAATTACTTTTTTTTTTTTTTTGCAAAGTGTGAAGTTAAACTGTGATGTTTACTGCCACAGCAGTAGTTATGGCTGCCAGCTCTGACACCTTTAAAAGTGGTTAGATAAATTTATGGACAGTAGGGTCATTAATGTCCATAAATTTATCTAACTACTTTTTGAAAGGTGTCACAGCTTGCAGCCGTAACTACTGCTGTGGCAGTAAGCATCACAGTTTAACTTCACACTTTGCAAAGTTTATGGACAGTAGGGTCATTAATGAAGACAGGAGGGCCTGGTGTGCTCTGGTCCATGGGGTCACAAAGATTTGGACATGACTTAATGACTAAACAACAACAACAACAACAACAACAACAACAACAACAACAGGGTCATTAATTGCAGCTACTAGTCTGGGTAGCTGTACATCAAAATCAAAATGCCCTTGTGTAGCATTTGCTACTGAAGGAGATAGAGGATGCTGTTGGTCTCATATCCTAGTTGTGCAGTTTCCATAGGCAGCTGGTCAGCTCCTGTGTGAATAGGATGCTGAACTATATACGCCATTGGTCTAATCCACCTTATTTTTTTCTAGCACCCCCAATCAATATGGCTGGGAATGATGAGAGTTGTTATTCCATCAGCTCTAGATAGCACCATGTGGAAGGTTTGGTTCCATCTTGTGAATAAAATGTGAGCAGTTCTGGTTCTACCTGCTAAATACTTTAAATGTTTCAATCCAACAGGTGAAGAAATCTACAGGAGTCTGACAAGGAGTCTGGCCAGCATTCTCCTTCCATTCTTTATCTACGGCTATGTTATGTGCAGCTGGTCAAAACCCTTTCCCTTCTAATCTCTCTTCTGCCTGTTGGGAGGGAGCATTTAAAACTCTGCATGTGCAGAGTCAGGCTGCTTTTCATGTATTAAATGTAACATGTTGTTTCACTCTTGGAGACCATGTATAGTTAGGATTATAGATATAATGAAGAAAAAAATATCACAGGGCTTATCATAAGCAGGTGCAAAGGCAAATAAGTAGAATGGGAATGGTTCTAGTCTACTGTCCTCGTTTGCTGTGCTGGGCTAACAATGAAGTCCGTCACCGAAATCAGGGCTGGAACTCTTGTGAGGCTGAGAGTCCTCTGACAGAGACTTCTTAGAGTGTGCTCCTTGACAGAAGATATGAGGAGACCGATTTCAGCGGTGGAAGAGACCATGAGAGGACTGTGTAGAAAAGAAAACAAACAGAAAAGTAAAGAAATGAAGATGGAGACCTGGTAGGGGGCAGCATTTTGAATATAAAAGAGAATAAAGGGACGAAGGAGAGAGAGATGGAGGAAGTGGCATGTTGCTGGGGAACTGAGGAGAAGGATGAGAGATAAAAAGACTGGGTAGAGATAGTGGAAGAGGATCCTTGACCAGGAGAATGGGCAGAGTTCAAGGTGCCTAAGGACTACGCAGAGAAGGTGTGGAAAAGACAGGTATACCACAAGCCATCTTAATGGAGAGAAACTGAAGGAACCACGAAAGAAATTCAGAATTTGGCAGAAAAGAGAAGCCCAGTGGCGTGAGAGCAGAACATGCACCACAAGCCCTGGGAGATCCTCAGAAAAGAGAAGCCCAGTGGCGTGAGAGCCATGGAGATCTAATGGGGAGAGTCCTTTCTGACCCAGATTATGGCCAACCCCAGGCCAGAAGGTTTGGGAGCCTCAGGTGGAGTGGATTTTTCACCCTCATCAATGAGGTTGAGCAGTGTTGTAACAGAGGAAATGGGCATATCCTGCAAATGGCAATATAAAGAGTTTAGTTCCACATCTCTACATGTTGAGAGCGAACGGAAGTTAATTACTATCTCCTAATGCAGTCCAAATGTAGAGGGGTAAATGCTTCATGGTTATGATTTTACTGTGTTAGTGTAAAGTCCTGAGTACAGGTCACCGTATTTGGTATGATGTGCAGAGAGAATTAAACTGATTTAATTAGCCTTCTTTGGTTCTGAAGTTCAAGCTGGTCGTTTAGATGGATATTTTAATGAAATTATTTCAGGCTTCCACTGCTGTGGTGTTGAAGAGGTTTTTCATTTTTCTGAATAATTTGAAATGATCATGTCTGGTTTGCCCTTGCACCCTGCTGATTGTACAAAGTAGTTGATTAACAGAGAATAGTATGATTTTCCATTCCTCAAGTAAACACTTCATCTTTGGTGTTTGTGTGAAAGTGGAGGCAGCCACACTTAATATGCCTTCAAAATCCTCATACCACTTTTTGTAGAAAAGCTTTCCTATTATCTTCAGCAAGAATATATTGGAGCATGATGACCTAAAAATGGAGGGCGTTTTGTCCTACATTTTGGAATGTGAATGTGATAATGACTATTGGAAATAACATACTAAAGTGGAGGTAGGTAGAAAATATGTTTTCAAAAGACCAGACTTCACATGTTTATTATTTTAAATTACCCATTTAATGCTCACATCTTAATTATTCAGTATATCAAATATCTGTGTTCTTATGAAGTTGCCTTCTATGATAAACTTATGGAGTCACCTTATATTAAGTATAATGAACCTCATTTTAGCATATAATTGTAATCTTGTTTCCATGTTTTAATCTTTTAATTTTATTTTAAAACATATATTGCTTAATTTGTCTTTTAATGTTTAACTTACTGTGTTTTAATTGTGTGAATTTTAATGCTGAGAGCCACCTTGGGTCCTTTTGTTGGGAGAAATGTGGCGTACAAATAAAATAAATAAAACTAATAATAACAAGTAAGGCCATTAGTTTACTTCACACATTAGTATCAACTACCTTGACAGTATCTCTCCAAGGTCTCAGAACTGTGAATATTTAAAGTATCTATTGATTGATTTTGCAAAAAATATAATTGCATTCTCTTACCTGGGTCATAAGACAACAGTTAGCTTTTTGTTTTTGAGCTTTTGGGTTTATAAATTATTTTTGTATCCATGCATTTTTATCATTACTACTATTATTGAACAGCTGACAGAGGGGATGCCTTTTACTGTTCATATTTTGCACTTCAAAAGTTTTGGTTACTTTAATCTTAATATGGCTTATGAGTGAAAAAAATTTCAAAGATGTTGGTGCATTATGTTTAAGTAGTAAATATATCTTGTAATTGAGTCAGTCTTCTACACCACTGGTTCTTAACCTTGGGTTACTCAGGAGTTTTGGACTGCAACTCCCAGAAGCCTTCACCACCAGCTGTCCTGACTGGGGTTTCTGGGAGTTGCAGTTCAAAAGCATCGGAGTAACAAAGGTTAAGAACCACTGTTCTACACTAAAAATGACTTAAGTAGTAAATATATCTTGTAATTGAGTCAATCTTCTACACTAAAAATGCCTTATTTCTCTTTCTTTCTCTCTCTCTCTCTCTCTCTCTCTCTTCTTTTACAGATATAAAGATAGTTGTAGAACCAGAATCTCAAGCAGTGTTATCTGGCCAAATGGTGAAACTGAGTTGCTGGGCATCTGGTTATCCACTTCTACAGTATCAGTGGTTTAAAGGAGATAAAATGGTAAATAAATATGTTACAAAGGTCTGAGCGAAAGGATAGTATTTGCAAGTGGAATATGAATTACAGTGGTGCCCCGCATAGCGACGATAATCCATACAGCCAAAATCGTCGCTATACGGATTCGTCACTATGCGAAATAAAAAAGCCCATAGGAATGCATTAAAACCCATTTAATGCGTTCCTATGGGCAAAAAACTCACCGTTATGTGAAAATCCTCCATACGGCCGCCATTTTCGCTGCCCAGTAAGCGAAGAATTGGTGCGAAAACACTGCAGCCGGCCTTTTTTTTACCCAGCGGCCATTTTGGAACCGCCGATCAGTTGTTAGAAAAACATCGCTATGCGAAGATCGGTAAGCGAAACAGCTTACCAATCATCGCAAAGCGATTTTTTCCTATCTAAATCGTCGCAATGCAATCACTTTTGCGATCGCAAAAACTTAATCGCTATGTGGATTCGTTGTTAAACGGGGCGCCCATTAAGCGAGGCACCACTGTATAATGTAACTTTCTAAAGTGCAGAAATTCTTATATTGAATTAAAGATGCTATTGATTTGTCTTCTGCTTCACACTTAATATTGACAATATATTGCTGATGCATGGGAAGCTGATTTATGTTGAGTCATATCACTGACCCATCAAGCTCAGTATTTTAAGTTCTAATTGGCACCAGCTGTTGAGGGTTTCAGGGAAGATTATTTCTCTCAACCTGGAAATCCCTCATGGCCTCCCATTTAGCAGGCCTGATGCTGCTTAACTTCCGAAATCAGACGAGATCTGTATGTTCAGGGTGGCATGATGCTCGCTATGAACAGAAAACTTACCATTTTTGTGAGACCTCCCCAAGTTCCTACTCATAGATTATAATTCTGAGAATGATGCCCTCAAAATGTGAGAATAAAAATGGCTTAAAATCATGGTGACAGCAAATAATAAATATAGCTTTAAGAAATCTATTTGTTTCTAATACTTTTTGTCAGCTATGTAAAATGGGCATTAAGAATGTATTCTGATTATGGGGAGGGTGTCTGTGACTCTTTTTGTCAGCTATGTAAAATGGGCATTAGGAATATATTCTGATTATGGGGAGGGTGTCTATGACTTGTCATTTTTTTCTCCTGCAACCTATGTTTGAGCTTCAACATGTTTATGAGTACTTTGATGAGAAAGGCCAGATTTCTCATAAGCATGTTTGAACTTGCTTTTGCCGGTCAATGACCGTAATAAAACATTTGATTTGATTTGATCTGAACTTGCTTACAGGTTCAAATGTAGGTGGCAGAGAAAATATGAAATATCATAGAAATCCTCCCCCTAATTATGATGCTTCTGTCATCTCTATCTGTGGTTGTTAGTCTCTTTAAAACTTTTGTTTTTGTTTGAAGAAATAGTTTCCCAGTCTTCAGTATGTGATGGTTATAAATTGTAATAGTTATAAAATTATTTTAAAGAAATTATTTGAAATATAATATTTGCTTGTTAATTGATTAATAACTTGATATCCCACTCCCCATAAATCAGAGTAGTTTCATGCTACTGGAATCCAGTTCCTTGGATGGTTCCATGAATCGTAATGTGTCATCTAGTAAGTTAGACTTGTAGAAAAGCAATGATATTGGATTCATCGTGATCAAAACTTTTGAGGCTATCATGTCAGAAGTTCCAGTATTCTAGTGTGAATGCTGCTGTGATCATTTTATCCTAAGGGCTATATCCAAGCTATTATTCAATGAAACGATTATCCTTTTTGTAAATCTTTATGAAGACAGCAATTGTTAAACGTGGTAGTAAGATGAGTTTAAACTGATATTGATATTAAAATGATTTGCTGAAAAACTTTTCTACCTAGTTTTTGATAAGTTTATATAGTATGCCAGTGAATATCACTGACAGAAAATACTGCTTCTCAACTAATAGGCTAGCTCTGTGAACTAGTAAACTAGTTCTGTGGAGTTAAGTCATAGTACCAATTTTTCATGCTTTTTTGCCTTACCATGATTAGTGATCCACAGCTGAGCCCAGTGCCCACACAGGTGTTCCATAGGTGCCATCCATCTGCTGTCCCACCTCCTCTGCACGCTGACCAATTCCTTGGGCAAAGCATACTTCCTTCCCTGCCTCCTCAGTGCAAGTGCCCACTTGCCTCCTCTGATGGCCGCCCACTCAAAGGCAACACTGCTCATTATATGCCTAAGAGGGATGGGAAAGGAGACAAATGTGTTAAATTAATTTGAAGATCTTGAAAATTTTGAAGTGTTTTTTAAAAAAAGTTGATAAGGTCAGGTAGGTAGTATGCTTGGCTGTAATTCTCACATAGAGAACTACAGTCATTATGTTGCTGTTTTTAATTGCCACAATTTGTGCTAAGCCATCATTTTTCATTCATCCCAATAAAGGTTCCACATGGGAATTCCCCAGAACTGGTACTCAGCCAGGTGAATGCAGATGATGCTGGATTCTACATATGTCGAGTGAACAGTGACTTTTCATATACATTCAGCCGATGGGCAGAGCTGGATGTTTCAAATATACAAGGATCTTGTCGTGGTGAGTTACAAAAGGTTTATAGAGTGGAAATTACCGACCGGCATGTTTTGGGAGTTAATAACCATTTATAAGCTTCAGAGTAACATAGTACAATAAATGCAATCTGCAGTGATGATAATACTTTTGGATCTGTACAGTAGGTTGTTTGTGAGTGCTCCATGTTATATATCTTGTCAAGATAACAAATATCATGATGGTAAAAAATTGACTTAGGCTGTAGAATGAGGGGGAAGTGTTCCCCTTCTTTTATTGATTGATTGATTGATTGATTGATTGATTGATTGATTGATTGATTGATTGATTGTTTGATTTGATTTGATTTGATTTGATTGATACCCCACCCATCTGGCCTATAAGGCCACTCTAGGCAGCTACCACTTCCAACATCCCCAGTCACTGGACAAACCAGTTGGAGATAGAAACTCTCAACTGGTACCTCTGGATATCGCTAGATTCGAGACAATTTGTTTACATCATTGACTGAGCTATCCTTAACTATAATCACCAGAGCATCACCTGCCCTATCTGTTAGCTTCATTAGTTACATGTATACCCCATTTCTCTTCCTGTGAGGTCAAGACGATGCACATTAAGACCCCCAGTACCTGCAGGATCAGTATCTGCTAATTCACACTTATCCACAAATATCCATGAAAATTTTACTGTTTCTGCTGGTAGAAGTGGTAAATTGGAAGTGATACAAGTGTTGTAACTGGAGCAGAAATGAGTGATAACCCCTTAGGAAAGAATAAATTGTAACTAAGAACTCTGTATCGCTCTTTGGCTAATCAGAACATCTAAATTTCTAAAATTTAAATACACAATTTGAAGTAATTTTATACATTGTACAAATAAGTGTTTCCTAAGAAAATATGTGTTTATTAATGTGTCAGTTGCTAGACCCCATTAAACACTGTCTGCTAGTTCTATGTGACCTGCTAGATAATTCAATGGCTTAGGTCTCTGGCTGTGGAGCCAGCGGTTGGGAGTTCAATTCCCCACTGTGCCTCCTTAACAGGGGCTAGACTTGATGATCCAGAGGGTCCCTTCCAGCTCTGCAGTTCTAAAATTATTATGTATAAAAGGAAAGTCCAGGGCATTGGGGAGACCAAAGAGCTTCAGGACGTGCAATACGTGTTGTTATTAAACATTTAATCCTAAATCTCTGGCAGGCTATGTAGCAAAATAAATAAATAAATAAATAAATAAACTGTCATGATTGTCTGGCTCATCTAAATCTTTTAATTGATACACATTGAAGTGACTGGTTGCACCAACTGCATAGTAAACATCTGACAGATGCTTCCAGAGAGCCTGCCTTAATTGTACAACGCTGTGCCGTATACCCCCAAAATGCTTAAGAATTTGCAGCATGTGTGTATTCAGAGGAAACATTTTAGCCTCAGTGGTATTTATTTCTGTTATTTGAATACACTTGGCAACAGGTTCTAAAAACAAAGGTGGGGAATACCTTTATCGAACTAGTAGGGTACTAAAACCAGGTCTGAGTCTAGCAAAAACCTTAAGCAGGCTGGGCATTGCAGATCTTGAGGTAATTGGTGGGAGTAACAGAAAAGTGAAAAAAGAATCATCCTGAATAGAGACTCAAAAGCTTGCCTATTTGTAATATTTACTACTCCATTAAAGGTATTAGTAACTCTTGTTTAGAAATTTGTGCAAGGACCACATAGCCTTTTTTTAAAAAAATGTTCAATTTCAACTGTTATTTAGTACGAGACAAAATACTGTGCTGCTGTTACACATTTTTCTCTGTGCCTTATAAATGGAGATCATTGCAAGGAAATAGGATGGATTGGGTGTGCATACATTCAACTAAGTTTAATTTATCTGATGTTCTTCCAAAAGGAAGGGAGATAGTAATGTTACCTTACAGTCTGTGGTACTTAGCTCTTTATTCAAGATTAGTTTCTGTTTTTATGTGGGTTACCTTTGGTAATGCTTCGACTTCCAAAGAAAGCAAAATGCAGTGATCCAGTGAGTCTTGGAGATTACCCTGGAGAAAAGGTAGAACATAAATAGTAAGTCTTTAAACAGGCTTATTTGCTGTTGGATGTTCAACAACAAACTTGGTTTGGAAAAGTAGGCTGTTGCTTTTCCTCTACAGAGTAGCAAGAGAAGTCTTCCCACCCGCGTCTTTTACCTGAAAACTTCCCATCTGCCCCGAGCTTTTTTCCTATACTGATGTGGCAAATACATGTTTGGGAGCCCAACATATTGGAAAAGTGATTGAGGAAAATGGGGAATGTATGTGGATATTGGAAACGAGTCTATCCCATCACCCTGTTCACTGCTTCTGCTGTGCAAAACTTGCTTTTCTCCTTTGGTGGGTTTGCTGCAGAGACTGAACAATTCAGATGGTTCTAAATCTGTGTTTGCTATTCATTGACTCCTTCCACTTTCAATAGCTAAAGAATCTCAAATTTGTTTGTATTTTCAATTTTAGGAAATAGTCTTGATCTGTCTGAGAAGAAAGTTCATATTTGCATCCATCCACAATCCCAGAATTTGATTGTAGGGGAAATGTTGGTTTTGCAGTGTGGAGCTATAGGTATCCCTCTCCCTCAGTACCAATGGTACAAAGATGGATCTCTACTGCCTAATGGCAATAAGAAAGTCTATATGGTAAGTCTTCTTTTTATTTTCCTTTCCTTTTTTTAACTGTACTAATGAATTCATAAATAATCATAAGTGCTACCAAATCAATTCCAACTTATGGTAGCCCTCTCCAGGGTTTTCTAGGTATAGAAACTCAGAAGTGGTTCACCCTTCCCATCTTATTGTTAAGAACTATGCCTTGGGACTGTGCAGCCTACCCAAGGCTATGTAGGTTTGCTCTTCTCCCAGGAGGCATACCGAGGAATTGAACTCACAACTTATGGCTCTGCAGCCAGCAACACAATTCAGTGAGCTCTCAAGAAATCAGGGGGAGGGGGGGAGTCATGTGTAGTTTTGCAGTTCTCTATAGAAATTAACATTTTTCAAACTTCTTAGTGTTCTGTCACAAGTGTGCTGATGATATCTGTATTAGTCTCTTTGGGATACGATACTCTAAAATTGATTTAATTGCTTGTATCCTATTTTTGAAAGTGTTAACAGGTTTGGTAAAGGGCACATATAGAAGGCTTTAGTTGTTTATGCCTATTCCAGATTTGGTGCAAAACTAAATGCATCTGTCCAATGCCACGACATCTAGTCATTAATTATTAGTGTCACGAACTGTTCTAAAAATTTAGACCTTGGATTAATTTCATATAACACTTAGAATTGTAGTTTTAGAAGAGGTAGTGTGTTAGTCTGTGGTAGCATATTAGGCAAAACCAAAAGAAAAAGAAAAAAAAAGAAAGAGGACAAAATCACGGTGGCACCTTAAAGACTGACTGCTGTATTTTAATGCGAGCTTTCATGGACAGCTCCACTTCCACAAACAAACTGAGTAAAGACTCTTCTCCTTGATATCTTCCTTTCTGTATGGAAAAAAATGGTTTCATATGAAGGTATATGTAATGATTCAAAACCTTTTGTCCAAATTGGTGCGAAACAAACAAATATTTACAACCTCCTTGTGTTAAATGACATGGGCTTATAGAACTAAGGGCCTTGAAATTCAGTCTTTCAGAGTTCTCGGATAGTCTGGGATGTTGCTATTCTCTATTCAGATCTTTATTCATTAATCTCAGTGAATATATCAGTGAAATAGTGCAGAATGTATTTGCAACTTTATTACATTAGAATATGTTTTTATATTCTTCTAGGTACCCTGCGTAGACATGGAGCATCAAGGAACATATTGGTGCCATGTATATAATGACCAAGATAACCAAGAAAGTAAGAAGGTACAAGTTATTATAGGTAAGAAGTGTTTTCATGACCTTAAAAAAACAGAATGTGGTGGTTTATCTGTCAATGCAGAATATAGACATCAATAATTACTAATGAGAAGCAGAATCAAATCACATTTCATGTGACACTTATTAATAGGACTATTCGTTTTTCTTTCTGTCTATTTCAAAAACGTTATACTATACAAATAAGCCCTTTTAAATTCCTGCCTCTTGAATCTGGACACCACCACAGAAGTCACAATTTGAAAAATAACAATGGCAATTTTTGACGTAGACCTCTTTTTCTTCTGTGCATTTATGACTTTGTTTAAACTTTTTAACCATTTATAATTTATCTACATGGCACTTGCATCTACTGTGAACGTTTAATTTGGTTGCCACATCATAATAAGTTACATTGCACTTCTTCCTCCCAAGATTTTAAAAATCTGTTTATAAAATATGAACAGCAGTCTTGTCGCGCTTGTGTTTTCATCGTCTTTCATAAATAAAATCAACATCTTCATTCCTGCATTCTTTTTTCTTTCCCCTTACACTGAAGATGGAAAATCTATTGCAGTAGAATGCACTGAAGGTAAAGTCAATGAGATGCTTTAGAGCTTATCAAGAAATCCTGCATGCTGAGATCTTGGACAATTCTGGCATCTATCTTTAAAACACAATTTTATGGTAGAATGGATCTGTGTCTATACTGCATGCTCATGCAAATTATGGTCAAAATAATGCATGAGCTACTCATTTCTTCTTACATCTTCCACTAATGATACATAGTGGGCAATCTCCTTTGACTATGTAACTGCTTTGTGTGTATAACATACTTAAGGGAGCATTATAACATTTAACCATTAATCATTATCTTTCTTTAGTTTTCTGTTCTATGTAGCAAAATCCAACTCTGTAGGCTTCTGTAATACACGTGTCTTCCCTTTTCTGTTTCAGAGGAGTTAAGTACTCTTGGAGAACCTGGTAAGTACAATGTAACTTTTCATTTACCAACTACCCAGTTCCTATTGCCAAGAAGCAATTTGCTTTCATTGTTTCTAAGCCTGTAAATGTATCAACTCTTTTAAAAGCAATTTCCTCTACTGTCCATGTTCCACAGCATAGTCATGAGGACTTGATACTTGTCTCTGGAAAACAGGTACAGTGGTGCCCCGTATAGCGATGTTAATCCGTTCCAGGATTAACATCGCTATACGGAAACATCGTAAAGCGAAATTAAAAAGCCCATTGAAACGCATTAAAACCTGGTTAATGCGTTCCAATAAAAAATATATAACATAATTGACTCTAATTAAGTAACCATGTTGGAAACAGAGTTAGGAAGCAGCTTTAAGGATAACATGTCTTGTGGTTGTTGTGGGTTTTTCGGGCTCTTTGGCCGTGTTCTGAAGGTTGTTCTTCCAAATGTTTTGCCAGTCTCTGTGGCCGACATCTTCAGAGGACAGTACTGTCCTCTGAAGATGTCGGCCACAGAGACTGGCAAAACATTTGGAAGAACAACCTTCAGAACACGGCCAAAGAGCCCGAAAAACCCACAACAACCACAAGACATGTTATCCTTAAAGCTGCTTCCTAACTCTGTTTCCAACATGGTTACTTATGGAAAACAGGTACATGCTGATTTCCTTTGTAAGAGCTGGAAAGTTTTCAGCTTCTAGAGATAACTCCATTAATTTGAAACTGTCATTTCTATTATATCTTTGTTGCTGATGGTTGTCCAGCATGGACATTTAATAGTCTTTTTGCAGTTTAGTTTCATGTAGGCTATCAGAACCTTGAGAGCGTACATGCTGATTTCCTTTGTAAGAGCTGGAAAGTTTTCAGCTTCTAGAGATAACTCCATTAATTTGAAACTGTCATTTCTATTATATCTTTGTTGCTGATGGTTGTCCAGCATGGACATTTAATAGTCTTTTTGCAGTTTAGTTTCATGTAGGCTATCAGAACCTTGAGAGCATTTTTTATCAGTGAAAATATTTTGATAGATCTTTAGTTAATTTCTTCCCCAGGGAACAACATCCATCAGTCAAACAGCTAGCCCTTCCCTCTCTGCAACCTCTACAATTTGCTCCAGTGGGCAACCCTTCAAAGTAGAGAGAGAGGTAGCAGAGGGCTGCAGTGGGGAATGACATTAATGGAAGTTTGGTGAGCGAGTAAGAGGACTGCTAAAAGCCTTCTTGCAGCAAGGCAGGCTGCTAGCTTGTTTAAAGGAGGCAGTTGTAAAACCTGTTTTTTAAAAATCCCTCCTTAGACCCCACTGTATTACATAACTATTAGTCCATGTCCCATATTCCATTTTTTAGGCAAGGCATTTGAGCGCGTGGTGACTTCTCAGTTCCGAGGGTTCCTTGATGAAATGGATTATCTAAAGCTATTCCAGTCTGTCTTCAAGCCTGGGTATTGGATAAAGACAGTTTTGGTCATCTTGGTGGATGATCTATGCTGGGAACTGGACAGCAGAGTGCAACTTTGTTCATTCTGGCAGACCTCTCAGCAGCTTTCAATACCATCAACTATACAATCAACTGTGTCCTTCTGGGTCATCCTTCTAGGATGGGACTTGGAGGCACTGCTTTACAGTGGCTCTGGTCCCTTCTGGAAAGATGATCTCAGGAGGTGGAGCTGGGGGACTCGCCACTGACCTATGGTGTCCCTCAGGGTTCTGTGTTCTCCCATGCTATTTATGGTATACATGAAACTTCTGGGAGAGATAGTTTAGACTTCTGGAGTTCTGTGTCACTACTATGCTGGTTACACCCAACTCCATCTCTCCTTTCTGCCTCACTTAAGGAAGCTGTTCCTGTTCTAAACTACTATCTGTTGTGACTAATGGACTGGATGAGGGCAAACAGATTGAAACTTAATTCAAACAAGACAGAGGTGCTCCTGGTCAATGGAACGGCAGATCAGGGATTAGGGATTCAACCTGTACTGGATGGTGTTACACTTTCTATGAAAACTAAAGCTTGCTCGAGTGCACTCCTAGACTAATTCTGGAACCTGCGTGCTCAATGTCTCAGGAGTGACCAGGAGTGCATTTACACAGTTAAAGCTGGTGCTCCAGCTACACTCGTTCTTACAGATGCCTACAGTGTGGCTACATTGACACATCCCTTAGTTATATCCTACTTGGATTTCTGTAATGCACTCTACTCAAGCTTCCCTACTTGGATTTCTGTAATGCACTCTACTCGAGCTTCCTTGAAGATGGTTTCGAAACTTCATCTGGTTCAAAATGCTGCAGTCAAGCTACTTTCTAGGATTGATTACAGAGAGTTTATAACTCCACTGTTTACAACAGCTTCAGTGGCTGATAGTCTGTTTCCAGTCCCAATTCAAAGTGCTGGTTATGACTTATAAAGCCTTATATGGCTTGGGTCCAAGCTATCTGAAGGACCATATCTCCTCGTATGAGCCTCCAGATCTTTAGGGGAGGCCCTTCTGTCAGTCCCACCACCTTCTCAGGAACATTTGGTGGGGACATGAGAGTGGGCCTTCTCTATGACTGCTCCCAGGTTGTGGGATGTCCTCCATCAAGAGGCTAGGTTGGATCCTTGCCTCTCATCCCCCCAGCAATGGGTGAAGACCATACTTTCTAGACAGGCTTTGAACAACTAATTGTTCAAACAATAGTGGACAGTGGTAATTTTGGCTGCTGCATATTATGTACAGTATATTGAAGTCTTTTTAAAGGTGTTTTAAACCATTTTAATATATTGTTTTAATATTAAAATATTTTAATAATTTTACAGTAATTGGTTTGTTTTAATAGTTTGTGAGCTGTCTTGGGTCCCACAACTGGGAGAAAGTGGCATAGAAATCAAATCAATCAGATATGTACAAGTGACATCCATTCATCCAACATCGGCTATCACACTTAGGCTTCAACAATCACAATGCTTTTGAGTGCCGTATTTGATTATAGGTTGTCATTGGCTTTATTTATTTTCCCATAATCTCTTCTAGGAAGCATCCAAAGACACGTATATGTCTGGCAGGTCTTCTTATTTCTGCCTGCACCCTTTGAGCAGAATCCCCGCCTCTCACCAATCTAACTTACAGTGAATATTGAATTCTGAAAATATTATAGCGTCATGATTATACTTTTGAACATTGGTGGATATAGGAGGATTGTGTGTTTCATGTTTTCAGTACTATAGCCTGCTTAGTTCTAAATTGTTTTAGAAATTGGAATGTGAAATGTCCTCCTACATATAAAAAGTTTTGAAACCATATTGTAAATAGTTTTTCTTCTTACAGAAAATATCCAAATGCATTTAAAATATAATTAAAAGTTGAAGGATTCAAATTGGAGATGTTTTAAAGTGTAAAGTTTATACGTTACTTTTTTCTTTTTCTTTTAAAAATACAGATATTAAAGAGCAGTCAACTGAAAGACAATCTGGTGAGTAGTTTAATGCTTCTATAGAAAATTAGGCACAATTCAGAAGAAGCTATGGTAAAACTATTTTTCAGTATATAAGACGCACCCATGTATAAGACACCTCCAACTTTTCTAACTCAAAATTTCTTTCTTCGCAAGAAAGTGGAGGGAGAAACCAGGAATCATCAAAGCGCTTTGATTCCTGCTTTCCCCCTCCACTTTCTTGTGAGGAAAGTACTTTCCCCCTCCACTTTCTTCACAAAAAGTGGAAGGGGAAAGCAAGGATCAAAGCGCTTTGATCCATCCCCCCCTTCCTTCCGTGTATAAGATGGCCCTCAATTTTTAATGTAAATATTTTAGACAAAAATATCATCTTATACACAGAAAAACACAGTGTGTCATTTGCAAATCAACAAGCATTCAGTACTTAGTTGTGTACCTCTTTGATAGCATCATGGTTTGATTCACCATAGTTTTGTTTCAATTACTGCCTGTAAACTTTTTTCTTTCTTCTTTCATTGGGGAGATAAACTGTGTATTGGAGGAGCTAAAACCCTGTAAAACTAAAATATGTCATCTTTTAGTAACCCTTTGGTGTCCAGCTAATGGCAAAACATGCTTAGAACGTCTTATCTTCATCCCTAACCAGTATCCACTATGTCCTAGCCCAGATCTTTGTTGGATTTGCATGGTCTTTCTGATGCTGCAGAAACCATTATGCCTGCATAGTTTGGACTTATCCTTGTCCAAACTTGTACTTGTGTGAGAGATCTTGCCTAACAATTGTAAATCTACTATCAAAATGTGTATTTTTTAACCATTTAAGTTGCATTTTCACACTAAGCAATACATTAACATCTTACCATAGTACTGTGTTCATAGTTTTTTGCACACATCAGTTAAAAATACTGTAGATGTCTAAAATTATGCCTGAATGCACCAATGGATATAATGCTTTGTTTTAATGTCTAAATTAAGCAACATTTTATAGTTCCTTTCAGGCAAGGTTAATTTCTTGCTTCATTGCCAAGTACGTTGGTTTCACGTAGAGAGCATTTGAACCCATTCTGGGAAAGGTTCCACTGGAACCAGATCCGTTCAGTGCCAAGTAACATTATGTACAAAATAGATTAAAATATAGACTGAAATAACAAAAGGCCAGTACATTCTGACAGCATAGCAGAATGCAAACCATTTACATGATAATAGGGATTCCACTGTAATGAAGAATCAGTGCAGTGGGACGTGTATTACACTTGTTGACCTGCTTCTGTAACACTAACAGATATATCTGTATAATGAAGTTGTCTCAGTTTGCTACTATACAATGAGCATTAGTATTTTGTCAGTTTTCCATCTTTCTCCTGTTAATACACATTCAGCAAGTTAGTCGAGGCTAGGTTGGTTTCCACTGTTGGCAAATGGAACATTACATGTGTTAGTTATGCATGGGTCATCTAGCACAGTGGTCCCCAACCTTGGGCCTCCAGATGTTCTTGAACTACAACTCCCAGAAGCCTTGACCACTACCTCTGCTGGCCAGGATTTCTGGGAGTTGAAGTCCAAGAACATCTGGAGGCCCAAGGTTGGGGACCACTGATCTAGCAGCCTAGTTGATGGGCATCTAAACTCCATTGCAGACTCCTTCATTTCTGGACAAGGCATTTGCTGATCTGAAAGAAAGATGACATGAATGTTAATATAATTCAATTCTTTAAAAACCCTCCAGTTTATAAATGTGGGACATTGTACTTCTGTACCCACAATTCAAAACACCAGGAAATGGCTAGATATTACTGCAGAATATTGTACCCACATTGCTAGCAGGAAAAAGGATTCCAAGCTTTACATAGCGAAGGGCAGTCTGACTGTTGAGTACACCAATGGCAGCAGTCAAGATGGTCTACAAGAGACCTTCTTGTGCTCACTATCATTCACAAAGTGATACCAAGCAAAATTCCAGAAGCTGACTCCTTTTTTCATCAGAGTTAAACTCTTCTCATCCAAACACAAAGCTATGGTCATGGCTGCTTTCAACAAGTATGAATGGTAGAAATATAGGAGGATGAGGTTGCTTGTCCCATCAAGGCCATCATTTCTGTGTAGAAATAGATGAAGGAGTATTTTGCACCTTCCTCTTACTTTCTGATAAATCTGGTTTCAGATCCTGATTAATGAGAAACCTGCTTAATGTTAACCATGGTGAAGGTTGATGCCATATCACTAAACACAGGAGAACAAATCTGCTCCTAAGAGGGAAAAGAAAGGGTGTAAGGATGTAGCACTCTTTATGACAGCTGATCCAAGGTGCATGAGGAAGGTATATAGAAGTGAGGAAAAAGCAGGCAATGAAAATAAAGTGAAGCAGTAGGGAGACAAGTCCATCTGAAAACTGCTTGTTGAGGTTAATTGAGGTGGGAAGAGCAAGTCACACTCAGAGCTCTTAAAAAGCTTCACCTTTATTTAGCATTTCTGATGGTCTCTTGCCGTCAATGGCCATAATTCTTCTAATAGTAATAATAATGATGTGCTATCAAGTCAATTCTGACTTATAGTGACCCTTACCAGTCAAATATATTAAGAAAATAGCATACTGTAGTTTCTATTTGTGCAGCAGTGCCATTTCAGGAGTGGAGATGCTGTTTCTACATCTCTTAGTTAGTGTGCAGAGAATTTTTTTTTAAAACAATTATCCATACAATGGCTGTTTCTACATCTCTTAGTTAGTGTGCATAGAAATTTTTTTAAAAAATTATCCATTCAATGATAAGGGACGTGGTGGCGCTGCGGGTTAAACCGCAGAAGCCTCTGTGCTGCAAGGTCAGAAGACCAGCAGTCATAAGATCGAATCCATGTGATGGAATGAGCTCCCGTCGCTTGTCCCGGCTCCTGCCAACCTAGCCGTTCAAAAGCAGGTAAAAAATGTGAGTCGATAAATAGGTACCACCACGGTGGGAAGGTAAGGGCATTCCGTGTCTAGTCACACTGGCCACGTGACCACGGAAACTGTCTTTGGGCAAAACGCTGGCTCTATGGCTTGGAAACGGGGATGAGCACCGCCCCGTAGAGTCGGACATAACTGGACTAAATGTCAAGGGCAACCTTTACTTTACAATGATTTGAGAAGGTCTTTTTCTGTAATAATATATAATTTTTAATTTATTTATAACTTCCACCATCAAATACATTCTTGCACTGAAAGTGGCACACATGGCTCTTTTGTTTAATTTTGACAATACAACAACCCTGTTTATTTTGTCCATACAACAACTCTGTGAGGTAATGCACATTACACATTTTCTGCATGGGAAATACTTAATGTAAAGCAGTGTGGCACCTGTATCTTCAACATCCTGCTTGTGACTTGCTACGTGCACACTATGAAAATGCTGTCCTATATTTGTTTTGCTGTTGCAGCAGTGGACAAAGTAGCTCTGTTGATGGGCAACATGAACTACCGTAGTCATCCCAAACTAAAGGCTCCACTCGTGGATGTTTATGAGTTGACAAACTTGCTGAGGCAGCTGGACTTCAAAGTCGTTTCTTTATTAGATCTTACCGAACCTGAGATGCGGAATGCAGTAGATGAGTTCTTACTACTCCTGGACAAAGGAGTCTATGGTAAGAGCAATCGATTTAAACTTCTGTCTGATTGTCAGAATGCATTTTCTAAATTTACCTCGTCCAAATGACTTTGTGCTGAATAATTAGCAGATCAAACCCCTCATAATTCATATAGATTTTTTTTCATTGGCACTTCGGGCTGAAAACTGGGAAGCATGTGTTGACATTAAATTTAAATTTAATTATCTATTTCAAAAAAAGATGTTCCAGCCACTTGGGAAATTATGAAACTGCCAAGCTTATCCATCTTACATTGGCCCAAAACATGATTGATACTGAAGATATATACTTGGTGAAATACCAAGTGAGATCATTTGATTGTCTTGCCACTACTGTCTGCTTTTCCTGATCCTCCAAACATTGTGTAAAGGTGTTTTTCAGGTCTTCTATCTGAGTTTTAAGAAGAGATGTCAGGGATTATGCATGACCAATTTATGAAAATATACAAAGGTGTCTTAGAATGAGTCCATCTTGCCATGTATCATCTGCTCTGTTTAGTAGCAGCTCTCTGAGATCTTAGTTTTTCCCTATCATTTAATCCTTTAATTCAGGGATGAGTGATTTCCAGAGACCTTTGCCTTTGACCTTGGAGGATATTGTGTTTCCCCCATCCTTTAAAAAAATTACAATTTACAGGGTTTTTTAAAATGATAAAACCCAATTATACAGTCTAGTGGCCAATTAAAAAAAATATTTCAGGATATGAGGATTCCCCAGAGGTGATGGGATGCTTAAAAGTATAGGATATAGAGGAGCACTTATAATGAGTGAACTTTCGGAGTCTCTTTTTTAAATGTTTTGTAGAGTGGTGGAAGATTCCAGGTGGCACATTTGGGGGGTCACATGCAACCCATAGTTTGCATGTGGCCCTTCTCTGCTTTGGCGATTTTACTGTGTGGTGCACCTGGGCCTTCTTTGTGAAAGCACATACTCACCTACTAATCTCCCTGCCCACACCTGTTAGTCTTCTCCTTTCTTTCTTCTTAGGCTAAAAAGCTGTGTCTCAATGCCCACTAATATTTATTTTTCATAAAAGCTTCCACTGCAGGCCTTTGGAAGGATAGGTGGAGGGATTAAACTAGCACCTGATGCTGCTACTTAAAGTGGGGGCAAGCAGTGCTTTTAACTGGATGTGTTTCTGCAGCAGGTGCAAGAACGAGAGGTGACGTCCGTGCATAATGCAACTTTCTCATTGATTGGATAAGTAATACTTGGCTCATTTATTGCCAGGCTGGCTGATCTGTCATTAAGCATTTCTCTCACCTTTTACGACCTTTTACAAGGGTCACTACGACAGGAAGATTGATTGGAAGCAGCACAAGCTCTCACAGACTTTTTGACGACAGTCTGATTGGCCAGTCTCTTTTCTTAGTGGTGGCTTACAGGGCACATTTAGGGGCAGCCATCCCTTTGGTGCTGCACACAGTCAGACTTTGAGAAGTACAGTATGTGGCATTAAGTTTTGCTTTATTGATCTCTTTTTTTTCTCCCTCCTTGGTGATGGAGGAGAGAATTCCAAATGGTGACACATAAGCATTTCAAAAAAGAATTCAAACATTCTTTCCACGTCTACAGTTGCAGTAACACAGCCGTGTTTGCTGTTGCAGACTTTCCAAAGTTTTTAAAAAGCTGCTGGCATCTTACCCTGGGAACTTCTGGTTATTTTATTGCTGCTTGTAAACTTACAGGAGAGAACTTTCCCCATCAACACCACCTGCTATAGAGTTTCTCTAGTACAGTACGTGATAGTAATTTTGTTTCACAGCTAACATTTTACCTGTGAGTTTTCTTTTTTTAAAAAAATAAGTCTTCCACTGTTAAAAATTTTTTTTGTAATTGAGTAGGCTTCGTTAAAATATTGTTGCACAATGAAAATAAAAGCAAATGTACTGCTTCCTTTACTTGTTCAAATAAATGCAGAAGCCTAAAAGTGCCAAAAGGGTGTAGACATTAGAGCAGCCTTTGTCACCTCTGTGTGTTAGGTTGCAATTCCATTTCCAGGCAGTGTGTTGTCCTACACATCTGAAGAGCAGATGTGTAGGGCTGGAATTTATTAATCTATTTATTTATTTATTTATTTCACAGTTTTATATACTGCTCCATTAGTGCAAAGCACTGCTCTGGCCATTGAATAATATTATCAGATAGTAACAGCAATTAATCAACAATAACAATAATAAATAAATAAAAATAGTAAAAAGGGCAGCACAAGATAATGGTGCCACAAACATTAGCCCATAAATAGGGCAGGCAAATCAAGCAGTGGATTCATGCAAGACTGCCTTCTGTAAGAAACAGCATCTCCAGCAACCTCCTAAATGTGAGCAGGGATGTGTAATGGCTGAAATCCTATTGCATAACCAGTGCTTGCAAAAGAGTGATCATATCATTGGCAGGAGATGATTTTTGATAATTAAAAACCTGTTACTCCTGTCCCATGGCTTTACCTCCTTTCCTGTAATCTCTTGCATTGTGTGAAAGCTATGGCAGCCGCAGGATGGAAGGAACAAATATGTAATTACTGAAAATTGGTACTGTGAAATAACGTTACTGCAAGATTTTCAATAATTAAAGACTTCCTCCTTCTTCCATGACTTCCATGGGATGAAAGCGATTGCTGATGAAAGGGATTATATAGGAGTTGGGAAAGCCATGGGACAGAAGTAGGAAGTTTTAATTACTCAAAGTTACCCCCTGGCCCTGATGTCATTACTCTTCTGCAGGGATAAATTATGTTGGTAAGTACATTTAAAAGTGTGTTTCTTGTTAGTGCCTTTTGAATGCTTGTGGGGTATGTGACAGATGCTATCTGGATACAAATTGTTAGTGAACAAGCTTTTCAGTTGCAGAGGAAATATGTTCTCTTTCACAAGAGTACTGTGCAATATGTTGCAAGAGTATGCAAGGGCTGCACACAGGCCATATATTTTTCATCCCTCTTGCACAGATACTCATGATGCTAATTATGACATCATGTAAGTTCTTTACTGCTAGGAAATTTACTGTTAATTCAAAATGTGGAGTGCAAAACGAATCTGCTGCTCCTAATGTCTATGTGATAAATATGTATGCTGCAATTACTGTAGTGTAACACAATGCTGCCCACTTCTTCAGTGCTCTTAGCATATACTCCTACAAGCGTACTGTGTGAAGAGTCAGTTGAAGACACTCTGGCTTTTTCCATTTCTGGCAATGCTGGATAGTTCACTAATTTTGCCTCCCTGATGAGGGGTGGACTTGATGATCCATAAGGCCACTTCCAACTCTGCAGTTCTTAGAATGTAATGGTGTTGTTACAAGAGGCAAATACAGCTTGCCTCTTTTCTTAGCTTTAAACTAAATTAATGGTTTTGCTTAATATAACTCTTAAATGCTATTTTGACTGTGTGTTTTATTTCTTCTCAGGCTTATTATATTATGCTGGCCATGGCTATGAGAACTATGGTAATAGTTTTATGGTTCCTATAGATGCCCCCAACCCTTATCGAGCTGTAGACTGCCTATGTGTGCAAAACATCCTCAAACTAATGCAGGAAAAGGAAACCGGCCTTAATGTATTCTTACTAGATATGTGCAGGAAAAGGTATGAAAATATTTTCATCACTTTATATGTCCCTCCCTGGTAAGAGTCAGTTTTGGTGACTCTACAGAGACCCAGTTAACAGCTGCATGATAAGCTTGTACTAATCCAATTAACTCAGTAGAAATGTTATAGCCTTTTGGTCTTTGTAAGATTTTTCTCTTGACTTTGGAGGGGGGGGAAGTGTAGGCGGAGATGCAATACACTTTGTGTACCGTCTGTGGAGCTGTGAAAACAAAAGAATTATCTTTGTCCAGGCAATGTTGATTCAGATATGAATTCTTTTGTTCCTGCCTAGAGATTTTGTCAGAACTAAAGAGCAAATGTGACACTGTTTTGATTACCCCCATGCAAGTGGATGTGGGCTGTTTGTTTAAAACTTTGAAAGCCAGCTTCCAAAAGATGAAAGCTTGAGATTGTAATGACAGGAAGGGAGAATAGCAGGCTGCTGTTTTGTTGTTCCTTGTTATCTCTTGTCATGCTCTTGTTCAGCTTCTGCTAACCACCCCTTTGTTTACTCCTCCTGATCACTAGCAAAGGTTTACTGTAAAGATCAGTAATAGCTGCGCATTCCCTTTGTGCATATTATTGGGACAGTCTTCAGAGCTCTGAACAGGCAAAGGCCAGCTGCTTTTCATGTGAATAGACAGTTGCCCTTCTGAAAAGACAGGTCAAGCAAACAGGTTTTTAAATAGGGCTCGTGTGCCAGATTTCATACTAACTGCCTTTCAGAGGACTGTAACAGCATTACCATTGCTAACAATTCTGTAAATTTGTATAAGCTTAAAACAGCATGTTTAGGACTAAGAAATTTATTGCTTAAATTTCTGTAGGCCAGAGTCAACTTTATTAAATTACGTCACTCATGTGGATAAACGTGTATATAACCTGAATACAGTGGGAGAAAAAAGGTGTTCTGCTATAATTATGTTCCAGCTAATTGGTTCCAACTTACGATAACAGTTTCCAGGGTGTATATAAAATATACATTACTCAGAAGTAGTTTACCATTTCCTTTTTCTTGGCCTAAGATCACACAGGATGGCTCTTTACCAGCAAGGCTCTATGGGGAATTGAACTCCTCAACCAGGTGTTCCAGCTCGTTGATCTTTCCAGATACAGTAGTTTTCTATATTACTCTAAGTGAGGCCTGAAGGTTAAAAAAGCAAGGAATAACAGCCGTTGTGTTGAATACTATGCAGAGCACAAGAATGAAATTGCTTACATGCTGTCCTTCTCATTTTGATCCTTGTGTTTGTTGAAGGAATGAATATGACAATACCGTTCTCATCCTGGATGCTTTAAAGGTTACTGCTAACATTGTCTTTGGATATGCCACGTAAGGATAATTATTTTAATTTTCTAGATTTTGTGTCTTTTTTCTTATTCTTTATATTTTAAAAAGTGCAATAGTTTGTTCTGGGCTTTCTAACAAAAACAGTCACTTGTCCTTTAACAGACAAGTGGGTAATATATGGATGACAATCTACTTTTTGTCCAAGAAGACTGTTATTGCCTACAAACTTCTTTGGCTTCACTAAAATCGACAGTTGCATTTTTAGATAAAGTAGGTTATTTCATGGTTATCACTTAAATCAGTGTGGTCAAAATGTGGCCTTCAAGAGGTTGCTAGACTACAAATCCCATAAGCCCTGGGCAGCATATCCAATGGTAAAAAGTGCTTGGCACTGCAATACAAACATCTAGTGTGCTACATTTTTCCTGCTCTTGAAGGCACCATGGGCTTTCTTTCAGTCATAAATAGGATTTTCAGCCTTCTGAGAGTATGTGTGTGCGTGCGCGCGTGCGCATGTGCACCTGTGTGCACGTATGCCTCCCTCTCTTCATATCATCGTAGGAGAAAGTGAAGGAAGACTTGAGCTGTACCATGGTTGACTACAAATTAGAGTAGAACTGCTTAAATCCAGTTCTAAAGGCAGATTTAGGTTGATAAGGGCAGTAAATTTTGCATGCCACATAGTTGTTTTCTCCTCTCATATACATAGAAGCTGATGAAGTCCAGAAAAAAACTTTGCTGCCAATGTTCTTTGCACTAGGTTGATAAGGGCAGTAAATTTTGCATGGCACATTTCTTCAGTTATTTTCTCCTCTCATATACCATAGAAGCTGATGAAACCCAGAAAAAAATTTTGCTGCCAATGTTCTTTGCAACCATGATCCATGTAGTCTGCATAGATACTAGCATACATGGGTAGAGAGCTGCTCCATTCTCTGATTGATCCAAGATTCCTACCTTACATGGAAATGCTCCCCTTAGTGTGTGCATCAAGAACCTTCTCATGTGAAATGAGTGTACAGATGACTGAGGGGGCATAGACACTAGGAGCTGGACCAGATGGTGATAACGTGCATTGCTCAGAAACCATCATGGGACTTGTTGATGAAGATGTATGTCTGTATCCCATTTTAAAAACGGTGACCTTATAATTTCTATGTCTCTCTATGGCAATGTTGAGCACTAGTCTTTGTGCAGTACAGTTCTAAATATGTTGGAAAGACCTATGATTTCAATGAGTCTTAGTAAGGTAAAGGTTCCCCTTGACATTTAGTCCAGTCATGTCTGACTCTAGGGGGCAGTGCTCATCCCCATTTCCAAGCCATAGAGCCAGCGTTTGTCCGAAGACAGTTTTTGTGGTCACGTGGCGAGCGTGACTAGACAGGGAACACCCTTACCTTCCCACTGAGGTGGTACCTATTTATCTACTTGCATTTTTACATGCTTTCGAACAGCTAGGTTGGCAGGAGCTGGGACAAGCGAAGAAGCTCAGTCCATCGCGTGGATTCGATCTTATGACTGCTGGTCTTCTGACCTTGCAGCACAGAGGCTTCTGCAGTTTAACCCACAGCACCACAACATCCCTATGCAATGAGTCTTACTCCAATGTAAATACAAAAGGATTGCAGCTATATTTACTCTACTGAACATAGAGTATCCTTTTGTTGAAAGAGAATTATTGAAGTTCATAGGCTATAAAGGTTTACTTCTTGGAAAATCAATATCATTCTATTAATGGATAGATTTGTCAGCAAATACGAGAATTTCTGAGTGTATATAAACAGAAATCTTGAATCAGAATGTAGATTTGTACCAAATAGAAATGTTTCTTATAAACATTTATTTATATACTTTTCTGTTTAATTTGAACTGTTTTTTAAAAAAACAAATTAACATATTTGCATTTGTTCTGTACATATTCCACTCACCTGCAGGCTTATTTCTGTTGTTATTAACATATTTTAAAGGTGCCAAGGAGCAGAAGCGTTTGAAATTCAGCAGTCTGGATTAGCCAATGGGATTTTTATGAAGTTTCTGAAGGAACGTTTGCTAGAGGATAAAAAGATTACTGTGCTACTTGATGGTGTGGCAGAAGGTGAGAGAACCATGCAAGGAGTAAAAGTTCTGTTCCCGGGTGCAAACCCACCTGAGATTGTTGTTAGCTGCAGTTGACATGGAACTGTAGCTCACTGTAAAAAAAAATTGATCTCTACAGCCTGAAATGGGGTGTACAACCTGCACAGCCTGAAATAGGTGTCCTTATTTCAAACAACCAAACCCTGGAATGTGGAGGTGGAGATTTTAAAGAGATGCCCATTTATCTTGATATTTTCCTTTCTAGTTTTTTTTCCTACTCAGAATCAGTTTTGCCAGCAGCTTGTTACTGCTTGAAGATATTTTTGTACTTACATCCCATCATGTCACTTTTAACTTATGGCACCCCTGGTGATTTCTGAGGCACATGATGGTCAAGAAGGGGTCTGCCATTGCCACCCCCCAGTACGTTTCCATGGCTCAGTGGTGATTTGAACCCAGGGGTCTTGGGCCCTAGTCGGACAACCTATTCACTATGTTGAGCTGGCTTTCACAAGAGAGAACAGAACGATATTTTAAATATCCATCCAAAATCCCATGAGGGAAAACGTCTTGGTGAGAATAGAAGAGTTTTTGTCACAAAACTGGTTTACAGAAAATGTTTAAATCTGCATGTGCACAGACAGTCACGTCTCTGCTCAAATCCACACCTCGTTTTTCCTTGTGTAGCCATGAGCGTCTTGCCTGGCTCTAACAAAGGTTAAGAATCACTGTGCTAGAGCATCACTGCTGCTGACTCTGTTAGATTTTCTTGATGATAGGCTTTGTTCAAAGAGAAGGGAAGGTTAATGCCCTTTAAAATTTTATCTTTGCTATTTTATTCATTTCATATGTTTTCACGCCACACCTCGTTTTTCCTTTAAAACTATTATAGACAAGTCCGCTAGAGCGTCAGTGCTGCTGACTTTGTTACATTTTCTTGATGATAGGCTTTGTCCTAAGAGAAGGGAAGGTTAATGCCCTTTCAAATTTTACCTTTGCTATTTTATTCATTTCATAAGTTTTCACATCCATTCACAACCATGGCCTTGGTCTGCTACTCCTGGTGCCATTTTTTTTATTTTAAAAAGAAGTTCTTCACTACATGATCTCAAATAGTTGGAGAACACATGGTAAACATGATGCTGTTGGTGTCGTGAATCAGCTAAGATTTAGAATCAAGCCAGCGCTACCCCACTGCTCTTCCTCCAAAGAGGAAATACATCTCTGTTGTCATCCATGGGCATAGCTTATCCTCCAATGGATTTTGCAGTTGGGTGCCCACCCATTTCTTCTTTGAGCTACCGTAGTTAAGTATGATTATTGTTCCAGTTGCCTCCATCGCAGGAATATGTGCTGTCTTCTTCCCTGAAATTAATAGTTTCATATCCATGGAAAAGGAAGAGGTGCTTTGTGAAGAACAACAGTGCTACAAAATACTGCCGCACTGCATTTGAATCTATGGTATTAATTCCACATGTGTGTTTTATCATGTGCTTTCCCCCTAACATGCTCTCCCTGCCTGGAAGACAAAGCTCTTGAGAAGCAGGGTTGAGGAAGACTTGGTTCCAGATAATAGGCTGGCACTTCTCAACATTAATTATGTCAGGGCACCATAATTTCTGGGTTAGGCTTGGAGGAAGACTTCACTTTGGCATTCAGAAGGATAGATAAGTATTTGCTCACACATTTTGTCCTATAGTGAGCTCTCAGCATTCTGACAAACAGAGGATGGCCAATTAATGTTCTTCCAGCAATAGCCCTTCCCATTGGACGGCTATTTGCAGAGTGGACTCTGCTTTCTAGCCCATATTAAGACTTCATAGATCACCCCATGCCTGTTGTTGGCAGGGCAGACAAATCAAGTTATCCCAGTGCATTCTTAATCCCTGGAGGTGACAATCCTGCCAATGCATAAGGATTTGTGCAACAGATCTTCTCCATTAGGCAGCCAGTGATCAATGCACTTATTTTCACACTGCTAGAAAGCAATATGCACAAAACTATTCAGGTTAATTCTAAGAGAGCTCCTTAAGTAGTAACCAAGAATATATTTTGTTTTTTAACTCATTATAGTAGGTGCAGTATTTTAAAAATATTATTACTACAGACTTTTTTTAAACAAAAAAAGAGACAGTGATGTAAAAAGGAAGATGCTAGTTTTCAAAATACAACTAAAAGAATGTAAAGAGCATCTGGAGCACAAAAATACATCACTACTGCATTTACCGGTAATAGTTTTCAATCAGAAAATATAAATGCATTACACCAAATTAAAAGAAACCACCATTTGAAAATAATATCATTGAGGTTTTGCTCTATAATAAAACATTGAGAACATACATTCGTCCAAGTGAAATATAGGAATAAAAATATATGTTTATCCAAGAGGTGACTTTATTGAATAGAGACAGTGCGGCTATGTATGCATGTGAGAGAAATACAATAAAATATTGTGCAAGAAACTAATCATGATACTTAAGAAATGTTGGTGGGGGCTGTTTTCAAGCAAAAAAGAACTTCCACTCTGTGTTCTAGAGTCTGTACTGAATGTTGAGCATTAAATGCCCCTCAAAATCTAGTTTCTTATGGAAACACTGACAGTTATAACCATAGCAACACAGTGACACTGCTGGGATGTAGGTGCTTTAATTAGAATTTTCAGCAGCTTTGATTCTTAGAAAATGTTTGTATCTTTTATTTTTAGATATGGGCAAGTGTCACCTTACCAAAGGCAAGCAAGCTTTGGAGATTCGCAGCAGTTTATCTGAGAAGCGAGCATTAACTGATCCTATTCAGCAAACAGTTGCCTCAGCAGCGGCCTTGGCACGGAATCTGCAATGGGCAAAAGCTCATGGTACAGGAAATATGTGAATGCACAAGTTTAATTAGTTTTAACCTGTGGCCCCTCATGTCTCAGGGTGATGGATGAATAACAGCCTTATGCATATATTAAAGTAATAAGATCACCAGTCTGAAATGGATTAGCATTTGGACAGTTGAGGGGGAGTGAAGGTGGAAAACGTGCATGTTTGTGGGTAGAAGAAAGGAAATCAGATTGAAGGGAACACATTAGCTTCCCTTTCTCCAGTTTATTTCCCTGCATTAGTGAGATGTCACTGGTACCTCACAGCAAGACTTTTCCAACTCCTTTATCTGCCCTCAGAGCAATCACATCAAAATTATTGATTCACACACTATATATTGTATAATATTCTGCTAGTATATTTTCAGAGGGGCGCTATAGTGGCCTATGTAACAAGAAGAGAAAATGCAGTGTTATGGACATTTCTAAACTTCAAAATATAGTAATCACAAAACAATGCAAAAATATAACTCAAAGGGCCAGAGAAATTCAACTATACCTTCTATCTAACTCTTTTGCCCCTGTCTCTATTTCAAATGCAACTTCTTGCTGATTTCATCATAATTCACTGGAAAATTAAGAGAGGGGAAGGCCATCAAAGTGTGTTGTTCTATATCCTTAATCTGTTAACATGCAATTAGGAATGTTGTTTCTTTTCAGAGAGATAATGAAGATAACATAATATTAACATAGACCATTTTGGACTCAATTTTAAGACTATACCTAGAATCCTTCTTATCTTTTACATATTTTGTGCTTGCTTAACTATGAATATTATTCAGAACGATCTCCTTCTTAGTGGCAAATATGCAAGACAATTGGGCCAAGGATTTCTTTTCCCAATCTAGGGCAAGATTTTCCAAAAACAGCTAGAAAGCTGATACTTGCAGTTTTTATAGCAGTGTTTACATCCACTAGCTGTTTAGCTCAATGAGTTAGTCATGATTGGGAGTTCAGTTCCCCGCTGTGCATGCCGGAAGAGCAAGCCTGTGGGACTTTTGGACAATCCACATAGTCTCAGGATGTCCCCTGGAGAAAGGAATGGTAAACCACTTCTGAGTACTCTCTATCTGGAAACCCCAAAAAGAATTGCCATATGTCAGAATTCTTAGAACTGCAGAAGGGACTGTATCAGTTCTCCTGTCAAGGAGGCATAATGGGGAATTGCATTCTCTACCTCTGGCTCCATAGCCACATACCTAAACCCCTGAGCTATCCAGTCTAGTATCCTTGACAGCACACAATTATTTTTATCATTATATATTGACCTTTCTAGCAACCCCCCCTGTCTATCTAGTGATTGCATTACAGTAGGACTTGCATATCTGTGGGGTGTTGGTCCCAAGCCCCCCTGCAGATGCTGAAAACCTCCAGTAATAGTGAACGCTATGCATAAGATGGAAAAACAATGTTTCCCAAAATGTGTGCCGCTGAAGCTGCAGGGAAGGGAAGGAAACATGGAGGAAGGTCTCTGCTCCCCTCCTCCAGCCACAGCTCCGCATTGCCTGGCATCCCGATCACGGCTGCCTCCTTGGGCTGCATCGCTCTCACCTGGCCTGGTCTGCCCACCCTGGTTGGGGCTGCTGGTGCTGCCCCAGCTGCTTGCTTGTGGGTGGGCTAGGCTGTCTCCCAGGATCAGGGAAGCTATCTTCCAGGCTGCCTACTGCATTGCCCCAGGGCTGCCTTGTCCCCATTCCCAATCCCCTCCAATGCCACTGTTGTTGCCACTCTCGCGAAAGGTCCACACCCCTCCACCTACCTCCTGCAGCGGGCAAAGGAACTGAGCTGCCAGGGTGGAGGTGGGTAGCCATCCTTTCTGGCTCTAAGGTCCTGCAGCCTGGAGGGAGTTCAGTAGGTGGAGGGATCCCACCTGCCTGCCTGGGACTGAAGGCACAGGTGAGCAGGGCAGGAAGTGAACTAGGGAAGGAAGATGAGCTGCCCCTGTCTTTGGAGAGCCGCGCACAAAGGAAAGGTACCCCATGCCCAGAATCAGGGAAGAAAGGGCAGTTCAGGACTGGAGCTCCATGCCCTTACCCCGAACAGCCACTCCACCCTGGGTCACCACTGCACCTGGGAACGCACCAGACAAAGAGGCAGCCTGTTGGCTAATGAGGCAATTGGGCAGGCACATAGACTGAACCCACGGGAAACCTCCATACAAGTTCAGAGGCTTTCCCATGTATCCCTTTTTTTCCAACCTCCAAGTAAACCAGCAGGAAGGAGGAGCCGCTGCTGCCACGGCCTCCTGGAAGGAAGTTCACAAGAGTGCATGAAATGCTGCCATCATTTGGCATCAACCTGGTTTAATGAAACCTTAGGAAAATACTACTTCTACCACTAGTAGTTGTTGTAATCACAATCATGTTCATAATCATAATAATAGTGTGCTGTCAAGCCAATTTTGCTTCATGGCAATCTTTTTCAGGGTTTTCAATTTATAGAATACTCACAAGTGGTTTACTATTCTCTTCTGGAAACACCCTGGGACTGAGCAGCTCGCCAAAAGCCACACACGCTGGCTGTTCTAGGAGGCACCGTGGAGAACGGAACTCCTAGCCTCAAACTCAGCAGCCAGATACTTGAACTCATTGTGCTATCCAGTCAGCCCTGGAAAAATAGTCTTAAATAATAATAATAGATTTGATTAAAAATCATTATTTAGCACCTAATTTTTAATATTTAAGGGCAACACTAAATGTGATGGAGGGGATTGATTCATTCATTCATTCGTTCATTCATTCATTCAATTTTTATCTTGCTCCCATTACTGTCACAGCACTACTCTAGGCAGGTTACAACTTGTAAAACAGAAAACAAAAATTAAAAATAGAACTATTAAAACCAATAGCAATAACCTTTTTTTAAAAAAACCAGATGGCGCTGACTAATCCTAGAGTGGATGAAGGAAAACAGGGGAGGGAAGAAGAGGAAGGGAAGAAAAAAGAGGGGGAAGGTGATTAGCTGTGGAAAGTCTCCATAAAAAGCACCGCTTTTAATTGCTTCCTAAAAATCCACAGGGACAGGGCTAGGCGGAGCAACTCGGGAAGCTGGTTCCATAAAGTTGGAGCGACCATAAAGAACGCTGTACCTCTTGGAGAGGATTTATGGGCCTCCCTCCGGGTGGTCACCCAGCGGAGCCTTGATTAATTTATGGGCCTCCCTCTGGGTGGCCACCCAGAGGAGCCTTGATTAGGATGATCTTGTGGTTCCTGCAGATGACATTAAAGAGAGACACTCCAACAAGTAACATGGACCCAAACCATGGAGGGCTTTGTATGTGAGTGTCAAAACCTTGAACTTGATCTGGGACACCATGGGCAAGCAGTAAAGGCAAGCCAGAACTGGAGTGATGTAAGTGTCAAAACCTTGAACTTGATCTGGGACGCCATGGGCAAGCAGTAAAGGCGAGCCAGAACTGGAGTGATGTAGTCAAATTCGCTTGTACCAACCACCAGTCTGGCTGCTAGATTCTGGACCTGCTGAATTCTCCGGATCAGATTCAAGGGGAGCCCCACATAGAGGGCATTGCAGTAGTCAATCCAAGAGAGGGCAGGAGCCTACACCAAAGCCCTGAGGGAGTCCTCGTAGGGGCAAAGTTGGGTGATTCGTCTAAGCTGGTTAAGGGCTGATCTGGACATGGCTGCAATCTGGGACTCCCAAGAAAGAGCTGGGTCCAGAAGAACACCCAAAGTATGCACTTGGTCCCTAAATTGGAGGGGAGTACCATCCAGCCTTAGGGATCGTTCCCCCCTAACCTGTCAGAGGTGTCGCTCCCCCCCAGGAGCAAAATCTCTGTTTTGTCTGGGTTCAGTTTGAGTGTGTTATCCCTGTTCCATTCCAGTACTGCAACCAGACAAAGCTCCAGCGTCTGGACAGCATCTCCTGCAGAGGTGGTAGTGGAGAAATGGAGTTGTGTGTCATCAGCTTACTGATGACACCTTACTTCAAAACTCCTGATGACCTCCCCCAACAACTTGACATAGAAATTAAATAGCACTGGGGATAGTGTCAGTCCCTGAGGAAACCCATACCAAAGGGTCCAAGGTACTGATACCTCCTCCCCTAGCTGAATTCTCTGGACATGGTCTTTGAGGCAAGATCAAAGCCAGCTCAATGCTAAGCCCCCAATCCCAACCTCAGAGAGCCTGTCCAGGAGGATACTGTGATCAACGGTATCAAAAGCCACTGAGAGAGCTAGGAGTATCAACAGGGTTCATCTGCCCCTGTCAGCCTCTCTTAAGAGGTTATCCTGTAGCAGAAAAGTGTGGGAAACAGCAGGAGCTGAAACCTATCCTTCCTTCCATGCCTGTGCTTTGGTGCTCCTTGTCCTAAACTACCCTTGGTCCAGTCAGTTTTAATCCTGGATATCAGTCACTGGAGCAAAATTAGTGTGGAGGCAACTTACTTGCTTTAATGCTTTTGCCCCGTGAACAAAAACAAGCTAACATCTTCCCAGCCTCCTTTAATCTTGTTCACTAATGTTCTGTTAATGAAGGATGCAATTAGCCCAGCTGGTTTTGAAGAAAAACAGTCTTGTTCTACTACTAACCAAAATATTCCCTTACCAGAACTTCCTGAAAGTATGTGTCTCCAGTTTAACTGTGGCGTTCAGATTCAGCTTGGTTTTGCAGCCGAATTCTCCAATGTCATGATCGTTTATACGAGGATAATAAAGAAACCACCCGAAATCACAGTTTGCAAAGCTTATGTCACGGATTTCCCCCTTGTAAGTTGGTGACTGGAGTTTTCATGAGTTTCTTCTTTAGAAGATGTGCAAGTCAATATATTGGCAATTAAGTACAAATGTAGGTTCTGGTGGCAGGAGGTGTTGGTGGGAGAAACCCCAGCACATTACGGTTACACCAGGCGAACCAGACTTCCTGGTTTGCAGAATCTGTTTGTTGGTGGAAGGGAAGAATTCAGGTATTTGCGCAAGGATTTGTTTTTGAGTACTCAAATTCCACATGGTTTGCAGATCTTCCACACGCAAACCCAGCCCTGGTTATCTCTTGCCATTCCAGGTTCAGCAATATAAATTTTGGGTTGGAGTATGCATTTTGTTGCTATTCCTGTTAAATAATCGGGAGTGAGAAGTTATTGTTAACATTCTGAAAATCATCTGTCAGTAGGTCCAGATCCTTTCTGCCACACTTGTGGTAAACGTACACATTAACTTTTGCTTTCTTGCTTTCCACAGGACTTGGATGTGGACCCTAAAGAGGCCAATAAAGGGACTCCAGAAGAAACTGGCAGCTATTTGCTTTCAAAAGACTTGCCCAAGCATTGCCTGTACACTAGAATAAGTTCGCTACAAAAGCTAAAGGTTATTTCATGCTATTTTTCTTTTGCAAGCTTACTTTTCTAGTTAGCCACATGAGGAGGAAACTTTTCAGAAGCCCACAACAACATTGGTAGCATTCAGTTATTACTTGCACTCTTGAAATACCCCAGTACGTGCAAAACCCTGCTATGGATGTAGCAGTTGAAAACTTTTAAGTTGGATTTTTAGCATGGATTCTTTGGTTGTAGAGGAAGTTCACTAAGCTGCAGAGGAAGCTCAATGAGCAGTGAGGTCAAGTAGCAGTGTGGTTGTTGAACAACGACTATTTTGCTCTTTTGTTGCACCACAAGGCTAGAAACTAAATAAATTGGGGCTCAAATAACAACACTGAAATATGCAATAGAGGGCCTTATATATGTTGCATACTGAAGAACATGTGGCATTCCTTGGTTTATAAATTAGCCTAAATTACACTGAACTAGCATGTGCTAAAATTAATATACTTGGGGCAGACATGTCCCACTGTCGCTTGTCCTTCCCATGCTCTTAGTTCAGTCGCTATAAATTATTATTTTTGTTCTTTGTGATACATACATTTGTGTTTATTTTGCATTCCGCATATACATCTCAGAACAAACTCTTATGCGTTCAAATGAGGAATAATTTGCTCTATAGATGTTAATAGCTCTTTCTAAAATCTGGCGTAACATCTTGACAACGAACATTAAAAATAGGGTTTGCGTGTCTGTTTCATGAATTTGAAACAAAAGTGCTTGATCACAACCATCCTATTATGTTTGAACTGAATGCTGTTCTGCTTGTTTAGGCAATAAGTGCTGCCCATTATTGTTCTTTTTCTTTTTAATCTGCAGGAAGACTTAAACTTCACTGTTCGCCTGCACTATGAATACGCTGGAGTAGATGAAGTTGTGGATGAAAAGAAAGTGGTTAACATTGGCAAACCTCTCGTTGCTAAATTATGCATTCATCAAGGTTTCAGGAATAACAGCGGCTTCCAGAGTTGTTGTGTGCCAAATGGGCCTTGCTTTACCCAGCTGCCTGACACAGGAGTGAATGTATACTGTCCCTCTCGTAACAATCGTCAGCCACATTCCTATGGAGGTGTTCCCCAGCCAAGCTCTGCTCAACCAGATAATGTTTCGCACCCGCCAAGATGCCATTGCAGTACGGCTCTGAACAGGTTAATGGCATGGCAGTCAACGTGGCCATATTCATCCAGTTCAAATCGGAGCAATGTACCTGTGGAGACAACAGACGAACTGGAATCTGATTTCTCAAGAACCTTAAGATTGTCTCATCAACAGTAGCCAAAGTCTGGACTTGACAGCTTGTTGGTAACATTCCTCTGGCAGACATCTGTGATTGCTTGGGCATCTTAGGTTTGCCATTTGCTGAGAACATTGGCTTAGATCCAGAAAGAGTTTGGCCAGCCTTAGGTCCCATTAAAACGAATGAATGCTTCATGCTTTCATACTTTGACTGGATCCAAGTTGTTGGAATTACAGGCAGGCCTATGCTTTGAAGAAACAGGAGTGCTTCTTTAGGCAACATGAGAGACTGCTCTGTTCTCAGATGTTCCCCCATGTTAACTTATAGATAAGGACATTGTTGGTTATGTTGGTTTGGATAGTTTTGTCAGAAAAAAATATGGGCTAAACCAGTTCTTTGCCTGAATGTAGACTCAGTAGCTGGGCGATGAAAGAGTGTGGATAGATATTGTTTAACTGATAGATACGTTCATGGGTGTTAACAGCTATTTGGGACAAACAAACAAAGTGGGGCCATTGCCTTGCTTCTGTGCCTCTGGCCGACCACTTTAAAAACAAGGTGTTGCGCAGAATGAAGTCTTTGTGGAATCGATCAGGACAGATTGTGCTAGTCCCGATGGTGGGGCCGGGGAAACAGAACGCTAGATTGGACAAGCCTGAGCCAGTGGGACTGTTCTTATGGTACTCTTATTTCTATTTTCTGGAAATGCTGAAACCTTGCTGTCGTACCAAGTGCTAGAAAAACATCCTGTGATTAGATGTAAAGTTTGGCAGGAATTTTCTTAATCCTTATTAACTTGGAAGGTAGCTGTGTAGTACAAGAACGCTGTTTGCAGTCAGTTAAGAAAAACTATAGAGGCTTTTTAATTTATATTTCTGTATGCACCTTCAGACTGTTTTAATAGTCAGCAAGTGAAATATATTTCTGCAAATACTGCTCATCCAACCTACAGTATCTTTTTTTTAAAAAAAAATGTGCATTCCATTCACATGTGCCACAGTGTCCTTTTGAAACTGCAGATATGTAGTGTACTAAAGAAGGAGCACTGTTTGCATTTCTCAGGAAAACAAATATCTGGCAAGCACGGAGGTTGATTTGTCAGAAATCATGGTACTTGATTCTGAATTTATCCTTGTTCTGTTGAATATTGGATGTGATGTGAGACAGATATATAAGGGAATTATGACACAGAAGCCATTAGTCAACTGGTGAGTTATTACTGGCAGGTGATTCAGACAGTTTGTGAGATGCTGCGGATGTGCCCTGTACCAAGGAGAAGCAGGAGCAAACATTGTGTGAGGAAAATTAGACAACACAGCCTGCGATGGAGATCTGAGAAACTGTCAGGGATGAATGGAGCCCCATCTACTGTCAGGAGTAGTGTATAGAAGGAAAACAGGTACTGTACTATATGTCTGCTTTTTCCTTTGTTCTTCTACCACAACACAAGGGTCTCCTCATGCTTTGATATCCTTTGCTTGTATCACTCCCTGGGAGACGCTACGCCAACCACTTTTAGCCATCACAGTGTAAAGAGGTGTCTAAGGAGTAAGGTAGCCCAATCCCTTTTTTGATTTTTGTTGAAGACAAAACCAGGCATTTATAATTCCTGAGCCTTGTGGCGCAGTGGTTAAACCACTCTACTGCAGCCAAAACTGTGCTCAGGACCTGGGGTTCAATCCCAGGGAGCCGACTCAAGGTTGACTCAGCCTTCTATCCTTCCGAGGTCAGTAAAAGGAGTACCCAGTTTGCTGGGGAGGCAATGTGTAGCCTGCATAATTAACTTGTAAACTGCCCAGAGAGTGCTTGTAGCACTATGGGGCGGTATATAAGCAGCACACTTTGCTTTGCTTTTGCTTTTTTGCATCATGCGTCATCCATGAAATGAAATTTTCTTTAAAAAAATTATTTCAGTAGGAAAATTAGAGAATTTTGATACCAGTAAACGTCACGGTCAGCTGAGTCTCTTTGGTAAATGTATTTTGTATTCATTTTTACTCTTTACTGGTAAAGGACAGGACTTGGTGTGTCAGAAATGTAAATATTGAAAACACATTTTTGAACACAATTGTCCCATATACTTGTCCATATGCCATTTGAGAACTATATGTTGGAAGGGCAAGAAAGGTAAAAACTGAGCAAAAGAATAAGAAATAAATCACTCACATATCATAGGTGTCTTCAAAGAATTGTTCAGCTTCTTCCATGCTACATTTGTACCATTTACTGAACAGAAGGGGGTAATTTCAGTAATAGCGCTACTGATCCCTGATCCTCACCCACTGAATTCCCATCCTACTGATAGAAAAGTCAAGTGGTACAATTCTTACTTCTGTGTGTATATGCCTGGAATCTGAACTATATCACAATCAGTCAAGAGGACGGAAGAACTGTTTTTGTGGACTAGCATCTTTGCCCTCAGCACCATCCTTCCTTCTGTCCCTTCTCTTTGGGAGATAAACAACAACCCAGGGTTGTGCTAACAAATGCAAGAGTCGAAAACATGATATACAGTGGAACCTCTAAAGGTAAAAACTGAGCAAAAGAATAAGAAATAAATCACTCACATATCATAGGTGTCTTCAAAGAATTGTTCAGCTTCTTCCATGCTACATTTGTACCATTTACTGAACAGAAGGGGGTAATTTCAGTAATGGCGCTACTGATCCCTGACCCTCACCCACTGAATTCCCATCCTACTGATAGAAAAGTCAAGTGGTACAATTCTTACTTCTGTGTGCATGCCTGGAATCTGAACTATATCGCAAACAGTCAAGAGGACGGAAGAACTGTTTTTGTGGACTAGCATCTTTACCCTCAGCACCATCCTTCCTTCTATCCCTTCTCTTTGGGAGATAAACAACAATCCAGGGTTGTGCTAACAAATGCAAGAGTCCAAAACACGATATAGTTAGAAAACAAGTGCTACAAGCAAAATTTAGCAAATGGAGCTGTTCTTAAGTTGGATTGTTCTTAGGTAGGGACGTTCTTAAGTAGAGACCCCACTGTAGTTAGAAAACAAGTATTATGAGAACACTTTCTTGGTCGTCCCTGAAATGTGAGAACAATGAAATGCCTTGTAAGGTTTGTACAGTTTGAAGGTGGAGAGGGAAACTAGCAATGAGCTCTGAACACCCCTTGAAGTGGATGCCGCTTTTTCTGGGGAAGTAGTGAGCCCGTCAACATAGGGTGAACCCTTATGCTGATTGTATCCACCTACATTCCCATACTTGTTAATAAATCAAACACTAGAATAACCTGGCAAGTCTCTGTTGATCTCAATAACAGAGTAAACCTAGGTAGCTCTGCAATTAGCTCATCGCTTGGGCAAACTGAGGGTTTTCAAGATTTTTTTTACCTTGGTTGTAATTTGCAAACTGCTTTAGGAGCCAGACTAGTCTAAAACATAAATGTAGAAGCCACAAATGGATGGGTAATATTTTAGAGACCTCTCCACACACAGAGGTGTGGCAGAGAAGCCTTCTCCAGCAAAGTGATGTCCAGCTTTTTGAGGGAGGCTGGTGGATAGTTGAGCGAGTTCAGTATCTAGCTGTGGAGCCAGAGGTTGGGGGTTCAGTTCCCCACTGTGCATCCCAGGACAGTCACCCTGTTGTGGTCTTGGGCAAGCTTCACAATCCCAGGATGCCCCAAGAAAAAAGGAATGATAAATCAAGAAGAAATCAAGTGCTAATATGTAATCCACTGAGAAATTTATATCTAGCATTTTTAATTGCCCATTCTTCAGCATGGTTCATCATAATTCACAATGACTAACTGACGGTTGATTAACTGCCTTTTTCTTATTTACTGTCATGGGATAGAAATTGCTGTTGCTTACAGAGACACGAGTATTTTGCATGCATGCTCAACAAATAATCTAGAGAAGCTCTTGAAAATTGATACCAGTATTAAGAAAGCTTGCAGCAGACCGGAGTGGAGGTGTACAATATAAATGATTATTGACACAAAACTGCCTCCTATTTTCATGGGTTTTTCTTTTCATACTGGAACTGGGGACTTTTCCAGAATTACTGGAAGCTTTTTAGTGAAATTAGAAAACTCTAAGTAGAGATTAAATCTTAATTTTAAAAAAAACCCTACACATCCACATACTGATTGTTGTTGTTTAGTCATTAAGTCATGTCCGACTCTTCGTAACCCCATGGATCAGAGCACGCCAGGCCCTCCTGTCTTCCATTGCCTCCCGGAGTTTAGTCAAATTCATGTTGGTAGCTTCAATGGCACTGTCCAGCCATCTCGTCCTCTGACGTTCCCTTCTCCTCCTGCCTTCACATTTTCCCAACATTAGGGTCTTTTCCAGGGAGTCTTCTCATGAGATGGCCAAAGTATTGGAGCCTCAACTTCAGGATCTGTCCTTCCAGTGAGCACTCAGGCTTGATTTCCTTCAGAATGGATAGATTTGTTCTCTTTGCAGTCCAGGGGACTCTCAAGAGTCTCCTCCAGCACCACAATTCAAAAGCATCAATTCTTCGGCAGTCATCCTTCTTTATGGTCCAGCTCTCACTTCCATACATTGCTACTGGAAAAACCATAGTTCGTGGGGGGGGGGAAGCCCTCATTCTGCCTTGTTGCTTAGAGTTAGATCAAAGGGTTTCTCCGCCCAATCCTAGTGGCGATTAGGTAACTAGTAACCTATCTGAATTCTCACAACATTCTATGTTATCATGCTAAGTTAATAAAAAGAGTTCTCAGGGCGTTGCCTTGAGGCTCCACTGGCTCAGACATCTGTTGTCGACTCTTCTTTGTACTTTCTCTAAGGCTAATTGCCTTCCTTTTGTTCCATGATCACCCACATTAGAGCAGTACAGCAATGGAACCAATGACCTCGAGAGGTGGTAAGTGCTCCAGCACTGGAGGCCTTCAAGAGTAATTTTGGCAACTATCTCCTTTGATTTGGATTCCTGCACTGAGCAGGTCATTGAGTTGGACTCAATGACCTTTTGGCCCCTTCCAACTTCATTATTCTATGATTCTATGTGGAGGTCTGTGGGCTTTGCTGAAATTGTTGCCAAGCACAAGTTTTGGACTGCAGAATACCATTCAGTCCAAACTTTCCCTTTTACCCCTAATCATTTCTATTTTAGCTCTGAATCAATCTAGCGCTATGCCAGTTCAAAACTTATACAAAAAATATTAAATATTTAAAAATGTGAGGAGAATGGGGACAGGCTGCTGCCTCCACTCTCACTCCCATAGCAGGGCTGAAACTCTTGATTCTTGTACCGGTACAATAGTGAAGTGAGCCCTGGGTCTGCCTTCTTTGCCAGGGGGCTCAGGGGGCTTCGTATCTTGCCAGGAACTTGCTCTGTTCCCTGGATTGATGCCACTTCCTGGACACTCCCCATCACCAAAACACAACACTCTCCCTCTCAGCTCCATGGAGTTCCTAGTGGTTGGAGAAAGCCAGCTTCTGTGGGGATGCACAAACTAACACAAAACCATGTGACATATCAATTTTGAAAAAAACAAACTCCCTTCCAATAGAATGAGGCATATTTTTGGTCTCTGCTCCCATGGTACAAAATGCTGCCGAAATCCTATTGCATTATTATGCCTGCATAAGGCAAAAGACAATTTGCCACAGTTTCTCGCTTGTAAGTAATATGGACCCACATGAATTTTGGGGCATATATCAACCTACCATACTAGCACACACCCAAAAATTCATGCAAGGGTTTATTCATTAGCACAAAGAAGCCGCTGCAAGTTGTGCTGTTTGCCTTCTACATATAGCATAATTTTTAATACCGAATAGGATTTTGGATCGTAGAATCTGTTTTGGCAATGTCACTTTTTTAGACACTCCCTGGCAAATCATGGTCATTAGAAATGTCAACTGGAGGGTTCTGGGGGTTGTTGTCCAGAAAAGGAATATTGCAGAGCTTTGATGTAAAAACATGATCAGACAATGAATGGCTC